CAACAGATGGTAAAAGTCTTTAACGCCAACGCGTTTCACTACAACAACTGTAGCATCATCAGGGCTATACAGTTAGTTGTAGTGAAACGCGTTGGCGTTAAAGACTTTTATCATCTGTTGGATTTGGTGCCCCGAACCATGAATTGTTCAAAGATTCATATACGGAACTTAATGAACACTTTCGAATGGACTTTTGCATATAGCTATAGAACAGAAGTAGACTTTCGTCATCTGCTGACCACGAATTTAATTGATTTTTAAACGCACTTATATATTGCTATGAGCAATTTGGGATTTATAAAATTGTTAAGTAATTTACGTAATTCATTGTTGTAATAACCTGCAATTTTGTGTTAATTCTGCGATGACTTCTAGCCTCAGCATAGTTGCTATGTTTTTGTGAGACCATTCAACCGTGCTGTCAGATAGGCTAAAAATCGAACCCGCGTTAAACTCCTTGTCAGTAATTTACCGGAGCATGGACTGGCGTCATCATTATATTAATTATAATGTGCAGTTCTTACCTGATAATCAATTTTCCTCCGATTGTCCTACCCGTTGAGTCCATCATCAGGGTTCAATTAATACCTCGATTAGGAAACCAGAAGTTTAGAATAACGGCTTACCCAATGTCATGATTATAGTCCATATTTTAAGTTTGCCAGCCATGAGAAAAAAATCACCTGTACCACTGACACTTCACATTCAAGCTCGTGCTTGTGTACCCTTCACTAGGGATCATGGATATATGAAACGGCTGTTCTTCATCTGAATTCCTTCACTTTCTATCGTAATCTGTGCAAATGAAAAACATTAAAAAAATGGATTGTCTCCTCAGTGGATTTAAGCAGGAAGAAACAAGCTGCTGGTAATCTTTGTTATACCTGTCGACGTTTCAGCCAAACCAGATGACACAAACAATCACTTTCTTCAACATGTTATTTGCCTGAGGATGGTCACTCCTGTTTAGCTGAAACGCATGCCGTTATAGTGAGGATTGCAATGGGTTTGTTTCGTTTGTCTAAAGCAATTGAAGCTCTGATTTATCGAAGAGGTAGAAGAGGGTACAGAATAAAATCTAATTTCACCGAATGGAACTTGTGTTTCACTCAGTTGGGTTTAATGAAACGTTCAAGTCTAGCATGTTTATATACTATTTAAAGTATAGTATATAGTATATATAAGCACATCAATGAGATACCAGGGACCTCAGAGAAACTCAAACATCCGATTATATTTTGAGGATGAATCACTTGGTATCGTGATGTATATACTGGAGGAGCACTCTGTGCCTCAACTCGTAATGGTCAAAATTTTGTGCTCCTTTCCTTAACAGAATGAGGAGATTCGTCCGATTG